GACCTGTACGTCTCCTGCGTTAATGTTGGTACATGTAATATGCTAAATCTGTACTGTGGAGATCATTAAGAGTCGTTGTCGGGTGAAAAAATCTTTCGCTAACACTGTGTTGACCGTGAACCGGAAGTGTTGGGAGTGGCATCCAGTGCTGGACCGGATGTCTGTGGCATATATGTAGGCTATTAAAGTCAAAGGGAGGGTTGTTGCAGTGAAAGCAGTTTAGAGGAAGTCTCAGACAGAGTGTGAGCTCGGCCTTCTGCAGACACCTGAGGTGTGTGCTGATGAGTTATTGACAGTGCCGGCTCATGTGGGAGTAAATATCACCCAAGTGTTAATCCACCTGGAGGGCCGTGGATGTCAGATTGCACCATTTTTTTTATTTCTTTTGCCCTCCCTCTCTCTGACTCACTGAGAGTCCTTGCTTTGTTTTAAGGATGATACTTGCTGTTGAATAGTTGCTGGCTTTCAGCTGAGTGATTTTCTGTTGTTTAAAAAAAGAAGAAAACGGCTTTACAGATCCTGGCAGGAGTCACATGATGCYGAGAGGAGTCGGGAGGGAGGAGGGAGGACTGCAAACATGGAGCTGACGAGACAAACGCATCATATCTGTGCAGATTTCCTGACTGCCGACACTTTCAACACACTCAAAGAAACAAACAAACGTCAAATAGCTTTGTTGGTTGGAGGGATTTTTTATGTTTTGCTTTCTTTGAGTAAGCCCAAAGCATCAGAACTGCTCATGCACACAATGAAAGTTCAAAAGATGCTCGATTAGGAATAAATCTGCAACTTGGAACTCTTTTTTGTTTTTTACTTTTTGTTGCTCAGATGCACAAAGACAGAAAACAAAGAAAACAAAAATACAGATTTTTTTAAAAAGGCTGATTTTATTCCTGTATCGTGTCCAAATAAATAAATAATGTTTATTTTAATTTCTGATTTTAAACATTAAAATTTAATATTTAGCAATCCCTGAAGGAATGGTTTAATGAGATATTTTGCTAACAAACACAGGTGGAAACAGTCCTGGTAGTGGGTAATAAATAAAATAACTGTTAACATTTCAGMTCCAACAACTAAAATGAATGATTAAAGCGTTTTGCAGCTCATCAGGTGTAAACAGGAAACAGAATCACTGAGAGGAGATCCCCCCAGCCCCGCCCACCTGAAGCCACGATGATCCCCGGCGCCGTCTCCCTGCTGGCGATGTTTCCAGATGTGTAGGGGTTAGCGGAGACGTGGAGATGGAGATGTAACGAGCAGTACGGCTGCAGAGAGACGAGTGGAAAAACTCAATTAACACAACATTCCTCGTCTGAACCCGCGGGACCACTAAACACCCTCAAAGACAACGTCGAATGTTGCATCGACTCAAACCCAGACCCAACACCTCCCAACTCATGGGTTTCATCACATACACCACCCCCCCCCACCCCCCAATTGGCTGGCCTGGCCGTTRGTTTTGATTGGGTTAACCTTTCCAGACACAATTCTCATTACAAGCCGGCAAAATGCCAGCAGAGCRGGCCGTGTTGTGACGGGCCGTTTGGAGCTTTATTAAAACTCTGACATTTCCTGACAAATGATCGTATAATACGGAAAGAAGGCGAAAAATGCCAGGGGATTTCTAATTGGTCCATCAAAAACAGGTGATTATGTCAGGGCTTACAGTGGTGTTACACTGCAAAAACTGTCCATCTTACCAAGTTTTAAAATCTTGTATCAGCCAAAAAGTCTTTTTGATCTTGTTTTGAGAC